GGTAGCTGTGTCAGCATGCGTAGGCTGCAAAGGAACAAGTAATAGGTTTATTCCATGCTGAAAAAAAGAAGAAAGAGAACACAACGTTTCGGCCGTGGAACCTTCTTCAGGTGTGCTGAAGAACACTTCTTCAGGGCACACCTGAAGAAGGCTCCACGGCCGAAACGTTGTGTTCTCTTTCTTCTTTTTTTCAGCATGGAATAAACCTATTACTTGTTCCTTTACTGCAGTTATATGCCACTACAGTTTTAAGCTATCATGTGACTGTAGTGCAACCGATTAGCAATCAGTTAGCATGCTGTGTTTATATGGCAGAACGATACAGAGTTCAAGCCTCGCCTGGAGCAGTACATTTTACCAGCTATATAATTCTGCAGCTCACACCTGTAGACTGAAGTGCAGATGGAAAATTAAAGACCAAGATCCTGACTCTCTGTGGTCATTAAAAATTCCAGAGTTTCTTGAAAAGAGTAGAAGTGTCCTGAAATTTCCCCCTGGCCTTTACCAGTCATGGCCTCCTAATAACCCCCCTCTCTGAACTGGCTTCATCACTCTGCTCTCCTCCCCACCGAGAGCTGGTGTGTGGAGAGTGTACTGGTGCACTACGGCTGCCTTCGCTTCATGGGGCTGCACACTGGTGGGGGTCGTGGGATTCCCCATTACCTCTACAGCTCTCTGAGTGGAGTGTCCAGAAAAGCTCTAGGGAAGTGGAGGGAATTTACTGTGGTGTAGTTGTGAACTGGGCAGCAACGGGTGTGTGCATTGTACACTGTCCAGCGGAGCAGGCAGCTGTGCATCAGTGTGCAACTGTGCAGTGTGAGTACCCTCTCGCTGGTGGTCATGTCGATGGCCGTGTCCTCCTCCCCGGCGAAGAACTGCGACGCCACGCTGGTCCTCACAGCGCCCCCTCCGGGCTCCCCGCCGCCCGCTGCCATCCTACCCTGCGCACACAGAGACAAGCGCACTGCTCACCTTCGATCCACAGGAGGCGCCACTGTTCGCTGTTTGCCGCCACCTGTGACCTCCTGTCGCTTTTCAGAACCGTGCAGAGCCTGGGTACTTCTACACAGGCCCATCATGACCCGCTCCTTGTGCCCGACATCTGCAAAGCGGCACTGCAGGCCTCCACACTCTTGCCTGGTCAGGTCTGAGCCCGTCCCTGGTCACAGCCCCAACCTCACACTGTGGGATTCCTCCAGATCCCTGGTCACAGCCCA